AAGACTCAGTCCATGCAGCCGCGTCATTGGTGTCCTTAGGATCCATGTAATTTTCCTAATGAGTCCAGTTTATTATATCAGGATGGTTGATTGGAATTGAACCCTGGTACTTTTGGCACACGCTAGGATTTTAATTAGGATCCTAGGCCATTACTAATACAATTGAAAGTCAGCTCCATCTTGATTGTCCTATCTCTGTCAGCTTGGCCTATGGTGGAGCAGATATATAGCCACAGTGCCTTTAAGCAGATGGCCCAAATCATTCCAGCCTCTCGGAAGCAATCTACACCAGAGGGATTTGCTTTGTAGGTAGGTGAGATGAGAGGATTGCAAATGGGCCCATGCAAATCCTGTTCTTTTTTTAAAAAAGAAAAAAAAAAGCTACATCTCTCATTGCAAGGCTTTACAACTGCCTTTGTGTTACTGCAAAATAGGAGGAGCCAACTGGTAGGGTTGGTGGACATGCCTTTTAACAAAAAATAGGTGAGTAGAAGGTGGTTGTGTTTTAACAGCTTGGATTCTGTAGAAAATAGCAGGGAGAGCCTAATGTTTCTTGGTATTTAATATTTTTGCCTGATGTTTTGCTCAGCCAGGTCATAGATAAACATTAATGTCAGTTACTTTTATATATAGTTATGGAACACAGCTTCTGTATTTAAAATCTGATTTGAAATTCTATCAAAAGTCAATGGGTGCGTGAACATCTTTAACTGGTTTGTTTGTTGTACTAGACTGGCATATCTTTGTGACTGTAGATGTGAATGTTAATTCTCATTACCTATTATGTAACTTTGCTAAATAGGTTTGTAATTGGCAAGATGAAATGCTGCTTATGTTGACCTATTTTACAAACTGTATAATGCTCTTAACCTAAAGGCTATTAAAAGTCTTAGAGCATCATAAAGAAGTCCCATAGAAAAAGTGATGTGCGCTGCCAGTTGCTTCTCTTCTCTTCAATCCCATTAAAACTATTTAAAAGTTGAAGGGATACCACCTGCATAAACCTTACTTTAAAAAAAAAACAAAAAAAAAACCTTTTTTGTTAATAGCTTAGCTGGGGTAGTAAAAAGTAGAGAATAAATTGGTCAAGGAGTTTACAGCAATACCTATCAGCTTTTTGGAAAAGTTTAATCTACATCAGTATCTAAATAAAGATGCCAAGATTGTCAAGGTTCCCTTCCCCACTCTGAACTCTAGGGTACAGATGTGGGGACCTGCATAAAAACCTCCTAAGCTTACTTTTACCAGCTTAGGTTAAAACTTCCCCAAGGTATAAATTAATTTTACCCTTTGCCCTTGGAATTTCCACTGCCACCACCAAACTTTAACTGGGTTTACTGGGAAACGTAGTTTGGACACATCTTTCCCCCCAAAATCCTCCCAACCCTTGCACCCCACTTCCTGGGGAAGGTTTGGTAAAAATCCTCACCAATTTGCATAGGTGACCACAGACCCAAACCTTTGGATCTTAGAACAATGAAAAAGCATTCAGTTTTCTTACAAGAAGACTTTTAATAGAAGTAAAGGAATCACCTCTGTAAAATCAGGATGGTAGATACCTTACAGGGTAATTAGATTCAAAACATAGAAAATCCCTCTAGGCAAAACCTTAAGTTACAAAAAAGACACACAGACAGGGATAGCCATTCTATTCAGCACAGTTCTTTTCTCAGCCATTTAAAGAAATCATAATCTAACAAATACCTAGCTAGATTACTTACTAAAAGTTCTAAGACACCATTCCTGTTCTGTCCCTGGCAAAAGCAGCATACAGACAGACACAGACCCTTTGTTTCTCTCCCTCCTCCCAGCTTTTGAAAGTATCTTGTCTCCTCATTGGTCATTTTGGTCAGGTGCCAGCGAGGTTACCTTTAGCTTCTTAACCCTTTACAGGTGAGAAGATTTTTCCTCTGGCCAGGAGGGATTTTAAAGGGGTTTACCCTTCCCTTTATATTTATGACAAAGATAGAATCCAATGGACATACCCTGCTTGGCAAAACATCCTAGGACAGTGGTCCCCAACCTTTCTGTGGGAATAGAACATTCCTATTCCCAACAGACTGTGGCGGGAGCCAAACACCCCACTGCCAAAATGCTGCCAAGAAGTGGCAGCGGAAGGAAGCCTCGCCGCTGAAATGCATCCGAGAAACGGCAGCACTTCTCGGCGGCATTTCAGCAGGCGGTTCTCAGGTAGCCGTGCTCAGCGGCGGCATTTTGGTGGTGTGGTGTCCTGCGGGCGCACACAGCTGCCCCAGCAGGCAACATTGCGCCTGTGGGCACCGCGTTGGGGACCCCTCCCCTAGGAAGTATAGAATCTGGATGGGAGGAGTGGGAATGAGGGCTCTGAATGGCACAGCTACCATAGAACTCCATTTACAGAGGGAAGGTGCAAGATTTTGTGGATTCTTGGGTAGTGGTGGCCCTGACCTCTGTCAACTCATAGTGCAAAGCAAACTATAACTGCCCAAAATGTGTCATGGGGAGGGGAGCCAGTGTGGTATTATTCCCACTCTCATTTGCTGACTTTGTAGAAATGTTCCAGGCAAACATGAGGCAATTCGTTCTTTTCAAGTTTAGTAGGTAGATAGAGGCATAGGCATGGTCAAGGAATCAGTCATTTTTCATGGCAGCATCCTATAGTAAATCCTTCCTTAATTCTTTCAGGTTCCTGCTTTATGCAACCAGCCACCCTGGAAATGAAAGGGAACTGTCCCTGACATAGTCAGAGACGCTATGGCATCATGGCTTTTGGAGCCGTAGGAGGAGCATAGGATCCTTAGGATTTGGGCATCTGGTAGTTTGCAGGGGCACTCCTGCTCATTCTGTGGAGTGATAAGGCAAGTCTCCTCTCTTCCCAAAATCTCATAGTATTTTAGTTCTAGGTGAACTTTCCAAGCAATTTTAGCCTTTCCACATGGACAGGCTTCTGTGGGAAAGCATAATAAAGCCTTTCATTCTTCATCTGTACCTGGATTATTAGTTCAAAAATCCCACATAAAAACTGGAGATGTATACCTAATTCTTCAGGCAGCCCATACCTCTGGCATTTTAGGCAGTTCTTTAGCTCACAGGGCCTCACTTTTCTGTTACAACTGGTGTGGTTAGTGGAACTTCTGAATACATAAGGTATTTATTACATAAAATTAAGATACTATCTGGGGGGGATTTCTTTTAAATTACCAGGCATGTCTTTTAGAATATGGAGGACAGAACACAGAAGTTAGTCACTTAAAATATATAGTCTGAAATTGTCACAATACTACGGAATGTCATACTTACTTTTTAATATCAGTAGCTTCCAGTACTCTGCTTAATGAAAAAAAAATTAGCTGAGAAGTTTTTGATTTGCAATATATATGAGGATTATGTAATTAAAAGGAGACACCTAGGTGTACCTTAAAGGTTTAATAACATAATACTGGCAGGGTCATGTTCCTGCCTTGCAGCACAAAATAATCTAATCCTAGAACGAGAGAGGAGAACATGAGTGCAAAAAAAATAAAAGGGGGGGGGGGTGCGTGGCACTTTTAACCTTTAAATTAGAGCTTGAACATGGATATTGCTTACTGTAAATTTCCACTCCATTCACATTTCTTCCTTCAGTAGATATTCTGCCATTTGTGCACTTGGGCCCTCAGGGGTGATTACAGAAAACTCTGCCTTGATCTGTCTGTTTTTCAATTCTGACAGTATCTGCCTCAGGACTGTATAGACCATTTAAGAAAAGGGTGGAGCTGAATTATGTCATTTAGTCATACCAGTTTCTATCAACTCTAGCTTGACCCTTAGTTGAACTTGAAACTTTTGTGCTGAAGGGAATGGTAATGCAAACAAGAACTGAAATGACTTGGAAAAGAAACATATAAACCAAGACAATACAACATAAAACTAGAACAATAATTAATATTGTTTCTCAGTAGAGCACTAAAAATCATTGTGATAATCAGAGTGAAGATACGATTTCTATCTAAAATAAGGCCAGTAAAAGGACATTGTTTAAAAGGAAGGTGTATGAACTACAAGTTCGTTATTTGGAGTAAATTATATGTCATCTTAAAAGGTTGCTGTCCTTATATGCATTTAGTTATTTTATTTTAAATAGGTCTTCTCGAATTAGAGTTGAAGAACTGTTTTTGTTTTGTAGTTCTTGATTTTTCCTAATACTGTGAATGGTGTGATTTATTTGCAGGATGATAATTTTAATTTAGGCAAATATATATTTTTGAATTTTAAATTGCATCCAAAATTAGTTTAAGAAATGTGTTTTGGAAAAGTTAAAAATTGGAACTGCTTACACACACAGGAGGCCAGATTGTTCCCAGACTTCTGTTTAAGCAGGGACTTCTCTGAGGATTCTCTTCTGGAAATTACCCCCATCATCTTGTTGGTGGGTGAGGGAGAAGGATTTGTCCTCAAACTCCTCTTGGAAAAGTTGCCCCCAAACTCAGTGTTCCAGTAGTAGGCCGGCCACGCCTTACCAGTGTTACTTCTATCCCCCTGCACTATGCAGAAGTCCCCTATACTGGACAGCTTCTGGGGAGCTATGGAGAAAAATTAGTGAGAGACTATACTAGCTTTTCCTGGTAACTTTTATGGAATTAGAGGGACGTGGACTGGGGAGGAAGGGATGGTGCTACAGAGACAGAAAAGCTGCTCCTTCCATTTGAAGGACTCCTTCATTTATATATGTAAGTGAGCATGAAATGTTCCTAAGACAAAGGTAAGCCCCCTCCCCTCCTTGAGGACAGTGGCAGGTAAGCTACCAAAATGTCTAATTTGACAGGATCACATTTAAAAAAAATTGAAACAGACCTTTTTCCCCCACAGCTGACCTGAATAAAAATGCATACTTTGTTGTACACACTTCGTTATACAGTAATTCACTGACTGTACTGTAAGAAAAGCCACAAGGAATTATGTATGTATTGTTTGACAGATTGCTGTACAAGACTTTTGTGGGATAATAGATTTATAAATAACATTTTTTTTTTGTTTTCCAGATTCAATATTAAATAAACATGGGTGCATTCTTGGATAAACCAAAAACTGATAAACATAATGCTCATGGTGCAGGGAATGGCTTGCGTTATGGCCTCAGCAGTATGCAGGGATGGAGAGTGGAAATGGAGGATGCTCACACGGCTGTTGTAGGTATTCCCCATGGCCTAGAAGACTGGTCCTTTTTTGCTGTCTATGATGGTCATGCAGGCTCTCGTGTGGCAAATTACTGTTCAACACATTTATTAGAACACATCACCAACAATGATGATTTTAGGGCATCAGAAAAACCAGGATCAGCTCTTGAGCCTTCAGTGGAAAATGTCAAGAGTGGAATCAGAACTGGCTTTTTGAAAATTGATGAATATATGCGCAATTTTTCTGACCTCAGAAATGGAATGGACAGGAGTGGCTCAACAGCAGTGGGAGTTATGATTTCACGTGAGCATATATATTTTATCAACTGTGGTGATTCGCGTGCTGTTCTCTTTAGAAATGGACAAGTGTGTTTTTCAACACAGGATCACAAACCTTGCAACCCAAGGGAGAAGGAGCGAATCCAGAATGCAGGAGGTAGTGTAATGATTCAGCGTGTTAATGGTTCATTGGCAGTTTCTCGAGCTCTGGGCGACTATGACTACAAATGTGTTGATGGCAAAGGCCCTACAGAACAGCTTGTTTCTCCAGAGCCTGAGGTTTATGAAATTTTAAGAGCAGAAGAGGATGAATTTATCATCTTAGCTTGTGATGGAATCTGGGATGTAATGAGTAATGAAGAGCTCTGTGAATTTGTTAAGTCTAGGCTTGAAGTATCAGATGACCTGGAAAAAGTGTGCAATTGGGTGGTCGATACTTGTTTACATAAGGTATGTAACTATTTTTCCTAAAAGTTGTTATACAGTTGTTGATCTTTAATTATTTAGATGAATACAATACCAGTTAAAAAGAAGAATTTCAGTTCCCTCTGGTTGTAATTCAGGTAATGCAAATAGCTTGCACTTCCTTCTTGTTACCCAGAGAATTCTTCATGGTTGAATTGTAGCGTGCAGCACACACTGTAAGCTTCGCTTGAATGTGGTGTTTTTCCAACCAACAACATCTGCAAGTCTTGTGCATGTGGAATGACTACTACAATATATTTAATGCTTAATTGAGCCCTGATCTTGCACTGAGCTCTGTATAGGCAGATTCAATATAGGGCACTGATGTCCAAATTCCATGTGAATAAGTTCATACCGCTTGCAAGATTGGAGTTGAATTTGAAGTTTTAGCCTCAATATTCTGCAACTCTGGAAGAGGAGGGAATTTTTTGACTCCCAACAGCTATCTTTTATTGACTGCGAAAGGTGAGAATCCTTTTAGGCCTGGTGCAGAAGGAAACTTCAAAAACAAAGCCCTTTCTACTATGGTATTCTCTCTACTCCACAGTCCTGTTGTACTCCTGCAGGAGAGTGGGTGTGATGATGGGTGCTAGGAACTGCCCCATGGTGTAGGTCTGAACAAAAAAGGCGATGTAAGGTCTAGTAACCCTGGGTTTACCATATTAGTTTGGCTACTGGTGGTTGTCACAATGTTCTCTACAGATTTGCAGTGCAAGAATGGATAATCTCTTGAAACCCTCTTTCAAATCTTTATGCTATATAGCAGCAGCTTGGATACCTATTCTTCTTCCAGTCCTTACTAAACTCCTTTACAAGCTCCTGGGAGCATCAGGAGTTGCAATTAAGCTTATACAAACATGGGAGGAAGAGGAAGGGAAGGCCAAACTTTTGATTAATCAGCTCTGTGAGGGTATTAGTATACACTCTGGGAATGGGTGTACAGTAGTAAATTAAATTAGTGCTGGGATTATAGTTTTGCAAATTACTACTGAGCAAAAAGTGAAGTACAAGAGAGAGATTCTGAAAGAAAATAGTGTTGATATGTTTGCACGGTATGTGTTGAACTGTAAGATCAGCTGGAAATGTGTAAACATTTCCAAGTGGAGATTAAATTAATATTAAAAATTTGTAGTTCTGCATAATTTGCAAGAAAATTGGGAGTTCCAGATTAACTATATATTAGTGGCTGACCTGGGGAGGTGGATCGAGAAACGTTATGTTAGATCTTGGCCATATCAGTGATCGTATTCATTTTTGGAACTTCATAGCATCAAAGTGAAATGCAATTTAGGCAGTGGCACAAATAGAATTCAGATGAACAAATATATTTGAAATGAGCTGTAGTGTCTCACCTGAGTATTTTCATAGAATGAAATATTAGCTTTTTTAGTTTGTTATTGGTTTGGGTAACAGTTAAACAATTTCTTCATTTTAACTTGTGGTCTTTTTGTCGTTACCTTTTAAACAAGTGAAGAAATGCTTAATAGTGATATATTTATTATTAATTGTAAGATAATATATAAAATTTCAAGACTATAAAATCTTTTTCTACATGAAATATATTGCAGCTAATTAACATGTTACAAATGTGCAATAAAGTAATTGTGTTAACAATGGTTCGTTATATCTTAGAACAAGCGAGAGTGATTAATAACAAGGAAGGCAAGAGGTTTAAAACTAAGGATCCCTCTCACGTACTTTTTTTTTTCCCTCCACTATATAGGGAAGTCGTGATAACATGAGTATTGTACTAGTTTGTTTTTCAAATGCCCCTAAGGTCTCAGATGAGGCAGTGAAAAAGGATGCTGAGCTGGATAAGCACTTGGAATCACGGGTTGAAGGTAGGAAAACCACTTTGTGTATTAAAAATGCTGCTGTCTTCATAATCGTAAAGACCTAATGGTTCTCAAGTTTTAAATGATGCTGTGCCAAATTCAGAGCTGATGTAAATAGATAAAGCTCTATGGATTTTCATAAATTAGGAAAAGGTTAAAAATTGTTTGGGGTTAGCTAACCCTGATAGAACCAGTATCTCTTCCTTAATTTATACGTAAGTTAACACCTTGTACCTCTGCTTAGTTGGTTGAAGTTAGTCACAGGCTTCACCCTAGGGTAGACCTCGACCTGTTAAATTGTGGTAAAATGTTAACCTGTGCCTGTGGTAAGGAAAAGGTTGGGGTTAGCACTTGATTTAAGCATAACTTCTTTGCCTAATCTAGGGAAATCTTACTGAAGTTGGTAGAGATGAACTTGCTTATATCATATTCTGAATGTAGCCCATTATATTTAAACAATGCATGCTAATCAAGCCTATAGTGAAAAATAGCATTTAGGAAATAATGGCTATTGTCTCCCACCCTCCTTTTTTATATTTTATGTTACACACAAGCTTTTTTCTTCAGTGATTATTCAGCATTATTTTATCATGATGCATCTTGCTATCTTTTTCTTCTGATGGCAGAAACACCCTTCTTTTGTAAGCTATGCTGCCACTGAGGTAACTTGAGTAATCTCTTGTTTTTAGAGAACATGTGCCTCATATCAGCCATATGTATTGTAGGATATATTGGTAGTTTTGGTATTTTAAATTATTATTGCAGCAAATACTCAGACTGGCTCTCGAATTGGTTTTCTGTTTGTCTCCTAAATTTTGGCATAAATTAGGTATTACTTATATAGATTCTAAACACTTTATCATTACTTTATCATTACATGATATTGTAATCTCTTGCTAACAACTTATTCTATATTTATGGTTGCGAAAGCACTTTTGATTTACTCTTTTAGATTCTATTTCTAATGTTTCATTTCAACCCATAGGTGTGGAGTTGGTTTTTTTTTTTTTTTAAGGTTTGAAGGAAAGTTGTTGTTTTTGAGTTAATGTGAAATAAGCTCTTCATGCACTAAAAATTGTTCAGGCCCTTTTAACATTTAAATAATTCAACCAATTTTTTATTTTAAAACTTTGAAGTTAGCATATAAATAGTCCTCCGTGAAAAATGCATGCTTTGCTAAGACTTTAATTTTAAAAAAGGGAAGAAAAAGAGGTTTTATGACTGAAAACAACTATATGCGCGAGTGCATTATATTTTCCTGAAGGGTTTAAGTGTGCGCCAAGTGCAAATACTCTGTTATATGTGTATGTATAAGCGTGTGTGTATGGATATCTGCATGCAGAACCCTATCAATCAGTGACTGTGTTAATTTCTACAATTCAGAAACTTCAGTAAAGTTCCCCTCTCTCTTTCTCTGTAGATGCAGATTTGCATAACTGTAGGGAGGATTAGTGAGAAGCATGGGTTGTGTGTTTTCAGTACATTGATGATGGAGCTTTATAGCTCCATCTTCACTGACTTGGCTAAAGATGTCAGTTGCATTACTCAGCGTTTTGGGGGACAGTGTAGGTAGAGATCAGGGCTACCTGTCTGAGGCCCAATCCGGATAAGACTCAGGTGAGAGAGGTTGGTTGGGGAAGGCAACTGGGAGAGATGGTGGTGGGTTATGTTGGTCTTTCTGTAAGTATGTGCCTTCTGTTTGTTGACCAGTTTCACAATCTGGGGTCTGATTAGAGTCATGGCTGCTACTCGCTGATCAGGTAGCCGCCACAGCCAAGTCAGACTTTGGATGGTTGGTAGGCTGTTGGAGTTTCTTTTCGATGCAGACTTTGCAACTCGCAGCCAGCCTTTGTCACTTCAAGATTAGACTGTGAGACTGCTTCTTATATCTATTTGGAAACTGCAGCTAGTGCAGAATTCAGTGGCTTACTTGTTTAAACAGTGTTTCCTGCCAAAGGCTTATCAATGCTGTGCTCTACAATCTGCACTGGCTACTTGTTAGTTTCAGGTTTGATTTTAAGATGTTGGTTCTGACCTGTAAAACCTAAATGGTCTGGGACCTACCTGCTTTTAAGAGATCACCTCTCTCAGCCCATTGTATATTGCTATAGTTCAGGTTACTGGAGATGCCTGAGCTGAAACCCTTTCAGTATGAGAGAGGGCATGATTGGCAAGATGTTTGCCATTCTAGCCTTGGACTTGTGAAATGTGTGTCCTCTCTAGACGCATAAGAACCCAAGTAATGTTACCTTTCAGGGTGTGCTTTTCTGTTTGGAGATGGGTGTTGGGTAAGGATGGGTAATGGTGATGTAGGAGTCTGGTGGATATTGCTTTAATTCTTGTTTTTATTCTTCTATTGCTGCTTTATTTAGCTTGATCTGGGGAAAGTGATGGTGGGTCTATTCAACGTATTTTAAAAATATTGTCAAATGTGCTAGGATCATTGGATGTACATGCTTTTATTGTGCTGTAGAATAGTAAAAATCAAAATCAAAATAGTAAATAGGGTTAGAGATAACTCGTAATTTTTTTACTGAAAACAAATTTTTTTTACTGTCGATATTAAGGAGAGAGATTTTTCTCAGACCCTTGAAAATATCTAAAAGAAAAGCATACTACTAACTGTTGACAATTTATTGTGTACTCACTACAGTAATGTACCGGACACAGCATTTTCTCGTGGCTAGACCATATGCCTGGCCTTACCACTGTTAACCTTGTGCAAATCACCTAACTTCTTCATCCTTAAGTTTCCTTATATGTAAAGCAGAGGTACTATTACTTTATAGGGATGTTTTGAGATTTGTTTTAAAATGCATTGAGATCCTTGCATGAAACTTGCTGAAGAAGTGCTCAATAAACATTATTATTAAGCATTTACTTGCTTAGAATTATGCAAAGTTAGTTTTGTGAAAATATCACAACAGGGGTAAGCCCCCTGGCAGGCCAGGCTGGTTTGTTTACTTGCCGCGTCCACAGGTTTGGCCAATTACGGCTCCCACTGGCGGCGGTTCGCCGTCCCAGACCAATGGGGGCTGTGGGAAGCAGCGCGGGCCGAGGCATGTGCTGGCCACCGCTTCCCACAGCCCCCATTGGCCTGGAGCGGCAAACTGCGGCTAGTGGGAGCCACGATTGGCCGAACCTGTAGATGTGGCAAGTAAACAAACCGGCCCCAGCTTACCCTGGTGGGCCGTGGGCCAAAGATTGCCGATCCTTGTACTATTATAAGCTACTGCTTTTTGTTTATAATAGTCCACCAGATTTAATTTTGGACAGAAATATATATAATTCAGATTTTGAAAGATAATAGACCTATATTACATAAACATAAAATAAAGTCTGAAACCCATGACCTTTATTTCAAATATAGGGGAGTATTCCTTTTGATCTAATACTATTTTGAAATATAAATGACTGGTAAGCCAGAGTATTCAACAGAAATAAGTTATCCAGACATTTGTCCGTCCTATTATTTCAGTTGTTTTTGGTTTTCCCACAGGAGTTCCCCCTGTCATTCAATGTTCTGTACGTTGGATAAAGTATAAGACCTTTAAGTGACATACACTTGACAAGGAATGAGAGTTAGTAGTCAAGGAATTTATATCCAGAATAGAAGCAAGTCAAGAAAACAGAAGACAAAGCGGAAGAACCCACAATATTTCGCCTCCCTATTTTTCTCCCAGCATATTTCGTCTATCCTCAATAAGTTCATTATCTCTCTATCCTTTTGACATATGTCTATTGATTCCTTAATAAAGTGGCTGAATTCTGGTTTGAGAGATTGGCTGCCTATAATTTTACTATTAAATTTTTTCATCAAATATTTATAGGATAGAAGTAGACATTTTGTTGGAGCTTAAAGTAGACATTTTAGATGGTTTGTTTGCTATCTGAGTGTGGGAAAACTGTCTTTGTTGAAAAAATTGTTTGACTCCATTGCAGCTGTTGTGCCCAGAAAACGTATATAGCTTGTCTTTAAAACTTTACGTTGTGACATGTATTTAGTCTTCAGTGAGGAATATGTTTGGTGTCAAGTTTGGAAAAATTGGTTGAATATCAAAAAAAAAAAAAAAAAAAAGCGGCTTTGTAAATGAGAAGGAGCCTCTTTGTAAGAAAATATCAGAAGAAGGCTAATTGCTCTCACCAGTTTTGCATGCATTTTTGGATACGATGCACTCTGGAGAATAGAGTGGAAGAATTTGTAATTTGTGAAAGTCATTTAGTTGATTTTGCAATCTAATACACTTTATAGTCCCAGCCTGTTAAATGGAAGAGTTGTGTTGCTGGTGGGAGAGTGCCTGCTGACCCACTCTTTTTGTTTGACTTTCTAGTGGATTTTTTATTAGTATTTTTTCTGTAGGTATATTCTTGATGTACTCGTGGCCTGTTATGATGGTCAATAAGACTGTGTCTTCCCGTGATCCCAGTCACTGTAGAGATTGTTTTCAGGCCCAAATTCAGCAAGGTACTTAAACATGTGCCTAACTTTCAGCACACGACTCGTCCCATTGATGCCAGTGAAACTACTCATGTGCTTAAGTTAGTCATGTGCTTAAGTGCTTTGCTGATCAGGCCTCAGAGCAGTGTATGGATACATAAAGATTTGCCTATCCAAACAGAGTGAAATATAACGGACCTTATTTGAAAAGAAATTACTTAGTTGTCAACTGAAGGACATGAGTTCACTCAATAATCTAAGGTCTTTGATCTTTGAGAGGTGGTGGTGGTCCAGTGGATTGCAGTACGAGTATTATTTTGTTCTTTGGAATGAAGAATTGGAAAGTGGTATCTTCATTGTTCAACCAGTATTTTTAATTAACAGTTCTTTTGATATGAGACATGATCGAGCAGTGAATAAAATAAATATGGGGGATTTTAAGGAAAAGCTTAAAGCTATTCTAAACTGAAATCTGCAATTTTTGCTTCCGGCCACTGTCCAGGGAATGAGAAATATCAGCCAGTTTACACTGCTCCTCTCCTCCCATTGCTCCTGTAACCCAGAAGAC